GCCTTTGTTCCTTGCAAATGTCTTTGGTCCCACCATGGTTCTCCCTGCTGTGGGCATCCTTCTGGGGGTTAGAGATTTGCCTTTAGTTTTGGTTGCTTTGTTCCAGAAGAGAAGTCTTATCTCCATGAATTTTGGTGAATAAAACATTCTATCTCATAAAAACTGTAATTCAGCATAATTTGTATACTTTCAGATGTCAATATTTACAAATATTGTACAGCTGAAAGACTTTCTTTCCAGCTACTTGTTAAAAGTGGCTCTGTTTTCTTTAGCAGTATTTTTAAAACTAAAGGCAAGATTTTGAGTAGTATTCTAGTGATTTCATATAAATTGCATGAATTGGAAAGTCTTCTAGTATAAACTGTTTCAAAATTAAAATGAGATTGTTCATCCCCTTAAATAACCACGCACGTATTTTCTTTCTTTTCAACTACTTTCTTCCATAATCATTGTCCCAGAAGATTATGAAACAGCACAGAATGTCTTTTCTTTGGAAATGTTGATATAGTGAAGTATATTACAAGCATTGACCTATAACAGTTGCAGAAAAATTATATTGGGAGTCAAAAGTCAGCTGGGTGGAATGGGTTCCATTGTTTTCCTCCCCACTTTATATACTCAAGTCCTCACCCCAAGACCTCAGAATGTGACCTTCTCTGGAAAGAATGGGCCACTGCAGATGTAATTGGTTATGATAAATTCATACTGGAGTGGACTGGACACTTAATCCATTTGACTGGTGTCTTCAGAAGAAGAGAGACTCACAGAGGGAGAAGATTGCTTTGGGAGAAGAGAGGCAGAGATTGAAATAATGCATTTACAAACCAAGGAATTCCAGGATGGCCAATAAATTACTAGAAACTAGGCAGAGGTAAAGAAAGATTGTACACCACAGCTGTCAGAAAGAATAAGGCTCTGACTACAGAACAATGAAGCATAAATTTCTTTATTTAAACCACCAGTTTTGATAATCTGTAATGGCTATGCCAGAAACAAACACAATTGGAGAAGCAGTATATGCTTGATAAATCAATTTACTACGCACAAGTTTTTTTTTTTAATTTTTATAATGCTATTAACATAGAAGAAAAAAGAAAATTTCAAATAGTTCAGAGACTACTATTACTATTATTTTAAAAATATTGATCATTAATCTCCGGTGTGTTTTGTTCCTATAACATTATTTGATGGGATTTCTTTTTTGTTTTAGAAAAGCTAGAAATTACTGATGGTTCTAATCATTTTTAAATAGTGACATAATATACAACATAATGCAAACTGTACTTTTTAAAATTATTTTTCAAAACAATTTTAAAAGTATGTTGGGTGAATGTGTTATATTGGGGCTAATAAATGTGACTAGATGGGTAAAGGATTTCTGAATAGGAAGAATCATCATGAGTAAGAGAGAAAAATAGGACTTTCTGCCAAGCCTGTGGAGAAAGAGAAAACATTCTTTTTATTAAATTTGAACTACACATCAAGTCATTGCTGATACCCTTCTGCTTTCCTGGTTTTGAGTTGTATCTAGTTACGTTCCTCTGAGACTGACCAAGTGTTCACAGGTGTCCGTTTGATACCCTTTGCTTGGTCCAGATGACATGCTCATCAGGCTTCTCTCCTTCCTACTGGCTCTGAGCTCTGCTTGTCCCAAGTCTGAGCAAGCACTAAAGATGGAGTGTGCCCTTTATCAAACACTGATCCAGAGGATCCGTTAACTACAGTGGGCACTTTGTGTCAGATCCTACTGGTCCTTTCTCACTGCTTACTCAGTTCCCCTCAAACGTTCCTGCTAATCTTTGCTGACTTCTCTTTAGCCTGTAAAGGAAAAGCCTTTTCTGTTGGATTTTGAGACACTTTGCAGATTTCTGAGATTTAAGTGTTCTCTCCATGCGTGGATTTTGTTCTGAAGAAACTATAAATATATACCAAGGGGTTGCTTTTCTTACTACTTTGGAGAATTAAAACATGCTGAATCATTATTGAAAAACTGATTGAATGAATTTCTACTGTCTTTTTTTCTCCCCTTGTCACTTTTCAATTTAACTCCTATTGTCTTTCAAACTTAACATAGCCAGTCTTTAACATCCCTACTGAAACAAAGAAAAACCTACCACTAAGCCAAATTCCCTGAGGAATGACAGTAAAAGCCAACAAACAGATGGTCAACAGCCCAGCACCGTCTCTTTCTGAAAGGCCTAGTGCTCGGCAGGTGGACTTGGTAATCCAGTTCTGAGGATTTACATCCATTTTTTTTTGCCCTCCTTCCCTGATTTGGCCTCATTCATGGATCTTCAAGCCTGTTTACTGTCTTTTCTTAGGGTCTTTTTCTCATATTTCCCCAGCATCTTTCTATCACCAACCTATTTCAGTTCCACCTCCCCTCCACTAAACGATAGCCTACTCAATTCATCCATATTAATCTCTCCCAAACAATGTTTTTAGTACATCCTTCCTTGTTCTATGTACTCAGCAGCTACCTAATGCTTAGTGGGACAAGTTCAGATTCTTTGCCTTGTTATTAACGGCAACAGGGAAATCCCTGTGAATGAATTCTCCATGTGTAATTAAAAATAATTGAAATCCTCTGACTATTTCACTCTGAATTATAGGACACTCTTCTTTTCGTTTCCCCCCAAATGCTTTATTTTATACTGAATTATTTAATCTTTCATAGAATTTAGAACATGTAATGTTGTTTTAGATAAAATTGACATTCTAAAAAGAAATTGGTTGTATTTTCTTTCCTTCTTGTTGGTAGTATATTAGAGCAGTTGTCACTATTCTAATTGCTCCTCAGAATTCCTGAGGAAACGTTTCAAAATTTATTGCATTCTGAATCTTATAAAAATGTAGATTTTGATTGCATAGGTCAGGGTGAAGCTTTAGACTCTCCATTTCCAACCATTTCCCAGGAGGTGCTGGCGCAGCTGCTCCAAAGATTACATTTTAGAAGATAAAGTCTTAAATAATATTAGGCACAGATTTAGGGTTAAGGCGGCCTGCAATCATATTATAGCAATTCTGATCAAGGTCTAAGTTTCACTAATTCTATGAATTGGTTCAATCTCATCAAATGCCTGTTTTGCCCATGAGAAAATGAAGTTTAGAAAAGATTAGGGTTAGTTCAAGGTCATGAAACAGTAATTGTCATAAACGATTGCCAACAATGGTGTTCTCATCCTCAAATCCTAGTCCTTTCATGACACCAGGACAGAAGTTTTCTCTTGGAAACATTTAGGTAAATAACTGCATTTAAAGAGAGCTACACCAGGCTCCATTTCCTGAACTGGGGCTGCTTTTGGTTTAATGCTTTGGTTTTGTTTATTCTTGTTTTAATGTCACCACTGATACTTCTAAAGAATATGAAATGTTACTAGGCTCACCTTACCTTTGTAATTGTGTCCTGGGGTTACTGAGCAGGATAAGGATAAGGATAAGGGTAAGGAGCTGGATAATTTACTGAAGGCCAAAGATAATATGGATATTGCCAAGCTGCTGGATACCTATTCTGTATACAAACAAAATGAAGGGACAGTTGCAGAGAATTGAGACAATGTGCAAATATTTCAAAATAATTTCCGTTAAAAACTTAGTTATTAAGGTCGATAGGAACTTATATGTCATCTATGTGATTGTTTTTTCTAACCTTTTGTTAGGTTTTCACTTACAAAAAAGATTTTATTTATTTATTTGAGAGCGAAAGAAAGAACAGGATTGGAGGGAGGGGCAGAGGGAGAGGAAGAAGCAGGCTCCCCGCACAGCAGGGAGTTGGACACAACAAGGGGCTGAATCCTAGGGCCCTGGGATCAGGACCTGAGCCAAAGGCAGATGCTTAACTGACTGAGCCAGGAAGGTGCCCCAGGTTTTCACTTTTTTGAAAAGAAATGTTTAAAACAAGTTTAAAATGAGAGAGCATTTACTTTTTATTATTTGTTGACAGTTTTGTCACACATTTTATAATATGTGTGGAGCTACTGATTATAGCCAACCACGTATAAAAGGTTTACATATTCTTTATAATATTACATGCGAGCTCTTACTTTGCCATCCTTGAATATTCGAGAGAAGGAAAGTTACTAACTCCAGGTTAGGTGGAATTGCTACTTTGACTCTTGACTTAGAATAAGCTTACTATCTCATAGAAGCCCCATATTGTCTAATACTAGCTTCTGTTAATGCAGATAGCCTTCATCTCTCCTTCTGAATATTCTTAGTTGGTGTCATTTAAACTCATCTACATACTATATTACTAAAAAAATTTGGGCTCTTAACACACTGATACGGCATGTCAAAATAACAAGGGATATCTATGTACATTTCATTAAGAAAAATGTTAGGGGCACCTGTGTGGCTCAGTCTGTTAAGCATCTGTCTTTGGCTGAAATCATGATCCCAGGTTCCTGGGATTGAGCCCCAAGATGGGCTCCCTGCTTCAGGGACACTGTGCTTATCCCTTTCCCTGTGGCCCTTCCCCACCCCTGCTCATGCTCTCTCTTTCTTTCTCTCTCAAATAAATAAATTTTTAAAATCTGAAAAAAAAAAGAAAGAAAGAAATTAAGTCTTCTATCTATTTTAACATGGTAAATTACATTAATCTAATGCCTTCATCACCTTCCAAAAGAATCAGAAGGTGGACACTTACCATCTCATATGTGCTTTTAGCAGCCTCTATGCTCCATTAGGCATATATTATACATAGTAGAATTAGAATTTCAGCTGTTCTTTGGCCAAGGCAATTATTTGCCAGACAGAGATACTTAAATCCCAAGAGAATAGTTGGTTTCTTCAGGCTGGCCTTATGAGTTTCTATTTAATTGTTACTCCTATCCAAGACTTGGGTTATTTTACCAGTGTATCATAAATAAATACAATCAATGTGTCCTCTAACCATTCATTATATAGATATGTTTCAGAGATAAGTATTGGTTCTTTATATAGAATAAATAGTCAAGGAGAAAATATGTTTGTACTATACCATATTATCAGGGGAATACTTATAGGGCGAGGTAAAAAGTTCCTATATTTCTTACAAAAAAAACAAAAAAAAAACAAAAAAATAAAAACAGATTAAGATCTTAATGCAGGTTTCATTATCAAGTTTACCCGTGAATGAAAATGTCTTACTTCTTCAGACGAATCAGCTCCCTGGGAAAAAAGTAAAAAATAATAATGAACACCTTCATTTTATAACTTGAAATTGAGTATAAAAAATGTACCAAGCTGCCTTAATTATGATTAAATAAAATGAAGAAAAAAGGCTTCATGACTGATAAACTAAACTAGTTTTTTTGTTTGTTTAATGACATTTTTAAAATGAGTGGAGTAGATTTTTGCTGTAATTAGTTTTCTATATTCTAGTATCAACTCCCTCTGGTGCAATTTTTTTGCGTGTATGAAAGGAAGGAAAATCTGCAATGTGTGAATGGGACAGATATTGAAAACCTAAGCTTCAGAGTTGCTCAAAACATATGTGTCTGTGTTTTTTTATAAGGATATGTTTTATATAGGTTAAGAGCTACTTATATTTAAATACTGTATGTACTAAAAAGAGTCTGGTACTATTTTTTTCTCTGTTCTTAGATTTTTATTTTTTACACTTCTGTCCTTTTATTAAAAAATAAAATGATATACTGTGATGCCATAAACAACTGTTTTGATACATCCACTAGAACTTGTCTGATTAGTTAAAGAAGTATAATTATTTCTTTAAAAAAAAATTATTTATTTATCTAATTGCCAGAGAGAGTGAGAGGGCAAGCACACAAGCAAGGGGGAGAGATAGGGGGAGAGGCAGAGGGAGAAGCAGGCTCCATGCTGAGCAAGGAGCCTAATGTGGGACCCAGGACCCTGAGATCAACCTGAGGTGAAGGCAGATGGTTAACTGAAAGCTACCCAGTCATCCTAATTTCTTGAAGAATTTGTAAGTAGCTAGAAACAAAGAATTCCAAAACAAAAAGAACATTATTTGAACAGAATAAGAAACAAAGGTAGGAGGGGAGCAATGAGGAGGAAGTGGGAGTAAGGGGGAGGATTAGGGGAAGGACAAAAGTAGGAGGCTGACTAGGAGGACAGGAATCCTTTCCCTCTTTCCTGTTTCCTCCTAACCTTTCCTGAAGAGGTTAGGAGGTGGGGAGGAGGAAGGAAAAGGCAAAAAGGAGGAGGCAGAGGTGGTGCAAGCCAAGAGAGAGGGGAAGAAGGAAAGGAGGAGGTTGAGCAGAGGAAGGGAGGGATGGTTGGAAAGTGGAGGAGGAAGTGGAGGAGGGAGAAAGCTTCAGACAGGTCAGGTTTTACCTGGTGACATACAAGTAAATGACAATACAGGCAGGAGCTCCTGATATTTGGTTGGTCTGAAATTATAATATTAATGTGTCCTTTATCAGCCTCTCAGTCCCACATCTTTGAGGCACTCTTTTAAAAAATTTCATTTTTACATACTGGTGCCCTGTGAGTTTAGTGTCCATGTGCACTTAGTGTGTGTGTGTCCTTGTGTGTTTAGTACATGTGTATGTGTGTATGTATGTGAGCGTGTATACCTAGGATTTATTCTAAATCCCTAATGAACTTATCTAGGTTAATTGAAGGAAATTGCCCATATAAAAACATTAAAATCTATAAAGCCGTGATCAGGAAAATACAAACAATGGCCAGAACACAAGAAATAAAGAGAATCTTTGGATAACTACCAAGAACATATTATTCAAAATTTCCTGATATACTTACGATCATGGCAACCATGAGAACCATGATAAAGGCAAAGACAAAGATCTTCATATTTGACTGAGTCCTGTGAAATCATATATGAAAATCAGTAGCGTATTCATTCCTGCTTTTACAAGTCAAACATTTATTGATCAAACTATGCTCCAAAGCCTTGGGAAACATACAGGAAAGAAAAAGACAATGGAAACACATTGCCTGACATCAGGGAACTTAGAACTGGTAGGGGATGTTGCTAAATAAAGATAAGTGCTGTGATTTGGAAATAAAGTGCTATAGAAACACCCAAAAGGGACTACTTGAAGAGACCATGAGAATGAGTGCATTAAAGCAAAGCAAAACCTAAGGTTGTGCTAGATTATGTAGGATAAGTAAGGAGAAGTGTTGGGAGCCAATCGAGAATGACAAAGGAGGGGGAGGATAACGTGCTGGAAGTGACATCCTTCAGTATGTAGGGGGGACAGTGACAGAGTCAGGCTGGCCCCTTAAATTGTTGTAAGATTATGGGGCTCACAGAATGACATGAGGAGAGTTAAGGCAGAGTATAAAGAAATGTTTAGAAGATAGATTGATAAACAATAGGGACTGGTTTCATAACAGAGTGTGTGAAAACAAGCCAGATTTCAGGCTTGAAAATGAATGATATTTGGAAGGGAAAAATCAAATTGAAAAGTTTTAGGGACAATATCTGTAGATACTTTGAGAAATTGAATCGGTAAAAGTAATTTATTCTCCATATTATCTCCTTCAACTAAATTAATGTGATCTGGGATTATTTGACATGTATTTGTAATTCTCTGTATACAAGTGAACACAATTTTATTGCTGTAGAAGAAGTAAAGTAGATTATTTCTGAATTGAAGACATAGATATAAAAATTTTCAAACTATAAGGTAAATAATAGGCAAAGGCTTTTTTTTTCAACCACCAGTTTTGATAGAACATTAAAGTAACAACTTATGTCTAGAAATAGAAGAAACTGTTCTGTTAAATAGCTCTAAATTTACTTTAACATATGAAGCAGAACTCAGGGATGATGGCACTTTCCTTGCTCCTTATCTGCTTGTTTGGTCTCATTAGTGTAAGCTCAGGACTGTGGCATTTGATAGCTTATGGAATTAAATATTTCTTGGTGAAGTTTTTCTATCATCTATTATGTAAACCAAATATTCAGTCATGTTATGATACAAAATAGGATGTAACTTTTATCATTGTTTCTACCTGGCAGCTTATTGAAAGTAGAAGATTGAAATTCACAGAAAGTGATCTTCCATAGACAGATAAATAGGTAGTTAGTTAGCTAGCTAGACTGATTGGTTTAGGAGTTTGAAAAAATATATCCCAAAGAACACAATGAAAAAAGTCTGAGATATTACAAACTTTTTTTCCAGCCAAATTACAATAAAATGAAAATGGGATAAGAAAGTGAACATTATTAAAATGAAATAGTACCTTATACAATGTTAACTATGCAGAAAAAAAACCCTATTTTGAATGATGAAAATGACAATGAGAAGGTTATGGAAAATGAATTAGAGCTGGGAATAAAGTAACTTTTAAAAAAGGTAACTTTAAACTCTGAAATAAACATATTTGCCAAAAGAGAGCTGACACTCTTCAGAGACCATTTTCTCACAAAATTTAAGTTAAAGGTAAAAGTAACTCTTAACAAAGTTGATGTCATGAATTTAGTCAAGGATAAAAGGCTTTTAGACAATCCCACCAGCAGAGATGATGGAGCACATTTCCTTCTTCTTTCCACATCGTTCTCTTTGTAACATGATGCTGTCAATTCAGAGGCCCTGACATCCTGAACTCACCTTCAGATCTTCACATCAGGTCATTATGTCTTTGAATTGTTTCTTTATGAGAAATTATCAGTCAATAATATACATTTTATAAGTGGTTTTCAAGTTGTTCCAATGAACAAAAGATTAAAATAAGACAACATACTTGATCGTACATGAATGTATTACCTGTTATCCAAGATGAGACTCAAGAGTCAGAGACTGGAAGTCTGAAGCCCCAAGAGATGAGGTGCTTTTCCTGAACACTGATGTATTTAAGTACACTGAAATCCTCCATTTGTTTTTCTAAATCATGTCAAATATGAGATCTTATTATTGAATTGAAAATAATGCCCAAAACCTGTCCCCACAGAAACCAAGATAAACTGAACATGCTGATTTTACAATAGAAGATTGTAAAGCAGATGCCCAGGAAACAAATGGACCCACCAAATATTAATCCCAGTGTCAATGGGATTGTGAATAAGACAGAGAGAAATGGGAATGTGAATAAGACAGAGAGAAAAGTAAGTTGCAGTAAGCCAAGTGTAGAAATGATTGAAACATTAAAAATGTTTCCGAAGAGCACCATCTCCCTATTTCAACAAATGCATGTCCAAGATGGAACAACTCTATGCCAAAAATGATAACCACTTTATTAAAGCACTACTTGTGCTTAATAAGTGGTGACAATTGTCATAATAAAACTGGAATCTTCATTTACTTCATGCATGTTTCCTCTGAATTATTAAAGTGTGCTTTTCTTCTATTGACTTTAGCAAACTTTAAGTCTTAAAGTGTATCCAAAATTGGCCAAAATTCATTCATTCATTGAATACTGTAATTAATAAAATAATTCTTTTGAAATCAAATGGCCATAGATGCTTAGTCTACATATCTCACAAGTAGCTGGAGGCATATATTTTGGAATTTAATTTACTTCCTTTGAGCCTTTAGGGGCTCATGTTCCTCAGTGGGAGCCATATGTGTGTGCATGATTATACACTGGATAGAAGGAAAATTCCTTTTCATTTATTTTCTAGGGAAATTTGTATAATAATTCACCTTTTTGCCACCCGTTAAATAATTCGATGTCAGAACTGACATTAATTCTGTCAGAACTGAATATAAGGAAATCATTTTTAGGGTTTGTAAATATTATGTCTTAGCCCACTGTTACTCATAATGTGATACATGAAACTATCAGAATCAGAATCACGTGAGAGCTTGTGGAAGTGCTAATGAATAGACCCGCTTTCTAGATTCGTTGCATCAGAACCTTGGGGATACACTAGGAATCTCATTTTAACGGTATCCCCAGGCAATGATCTGTGTAGCATAACGTTTGAGAAACCGAATGATAGACTCAGTAATGTATTATTTGTCTAGAGATTAGGTCCCATAAATACAATTTAAGGTTTAATTTTTATCAAGTGTCTTAAGAAAATACTTATTAGGTGAATAATCTATGCTACATTTGAACCACCCATTAAAAATTACTGCTATTCTCTGGGTAATATACAAAACATACAAATGTTTTATAAGGCAAAAAAAAGAATTAGAGTCAAATTGATTTTAAATTATTTTGTATACTTTCATTGATTTCTAAGCCTTATAGATATATATTCTCTTCTCAAATGCAAAGCAAAACTAATCTTTAGTATATTCTCAATGGAAAAAAGATATATAGGGTTTAGTAAGTACTGAAATAAGTCTGATTTTAAAAAAGTAAAGGCCCTGCTTATTCATTTGGTATTGTCAGATGACTTCCTTTCTTGGTAAGTACTAGTTTTTCTTTGTAAGATTTTTTTGTCTCTCCCCTTCTGACTCTCACTTACATTTTTCTTTCACTATTACTTTATTGATTCATGTAAACAAGGTTACTTGGCACTATTCTAATAGATCTATGCAATTCATAATCTCATAAAGAAAAAGTGAACTAATTCTCCAAGGGCAGTACCAAAGAACATGAAGAAAGCCAAACAGCTAGGTAATAAAAATAGATAGATGTTAATATACACATGTACAATTAAACTTAACTCACCCATATTTTAGGTTGGACATCAAAATGTTGGCATTTTTCCACTCATCACTTCCTACTGTAACAAGATAGGAAGGATGGGGATTGTGTGTGAGTGTGGGAAACAAGAAGATGGAATCTAAACACTGGAATAACCTTCCTTTTGTTATGGTGCCATCCTCCAGGGACAGTAGTCATTTCAGAATATTGATGGACCAGAACATGACCTGACATTTTATAGTTAAGTAAAACAAATATCATTTCCTCTATAACCAACCAGTGTTCTGTTTGGAAAATTCCAGAGTTTACATTTACAAGGGAAACATTAATAAAGAACTATTGCTGTATCCCAAGTGTGGCATTAAATTGCTGGCATAAGTGTGCAAACAATGAATAGGATTTTATGGTGGTATTTTTGTTGGATTTTCCTTAGGCTTCTTCCTTCTCTTCTTTTTTTCTTATTGTCTTTATTTGTCTCATAACAAAATGGTTTATAGTCTAAACAAAATCCATAATGTTAATTTATTTAACTAAAGGACATCCAGTGTATATTCTTGTGTGAATTACTAAAATGTAGAAGGAATCTACAGTAGACTAGCAGATGTATAAAATGTATGAGTGACCTGGAAAAGAGGGTAATGAGAAACACTTTACATTTACAAAAATATAAAGAAATTTTAAAAAAGTAAGATATCTTAAGGGATCTCTTAGATAACATCAAGAAAATGAACATTTGCATTAGAAATGTCCCAGAAGAAGAAGAAGAGAGAGAATGGGGGAATTAAACTTACTTCAAGAAAGAATACCAAGTAAACATCCCTAATCTAGAGAAAGAAATGGACATCAGGTCCAAAGGAGATGAGTCCATACTGGTCAACACCAGGACACATAATAATTAAAATGTCAGATATAAAATATAAGAGAATTTTAAAAGCACCAAGAGAGAAGCAAATGTTACATATAAAGGAAACCCTATAGGGCTATTAGCTGATTGTTCAGCAGAAACTTTGTAGGCCAGGGGCGCCTGGGTGCCTCAGTGGGTTAAGCCTCTGCCTTCAGCTCAGGTCATGATCTCAGGGTCTTGGGATAGAGCCCTGCATTGGGCTCTCTGCTCAGCAGGGAGCCTGCTTCCTTCTCTCTCTCTGTCTGCCTCTCTGTCTCCTTGTGATCTTGCTCTCTCTGTCAAATAAATATATAAAACCTTTCAAAAAAAAAAGAAAGGCACTTTGTAGGCCAGAAAGGAGTTGCATGATCTATACAAAGTGCTGGAAGGAGAAGACTCACGACCAATCCCTGCAAGGTTATCATTCACAATGAAGGAGAGATAATTTCCCAAACAAACAAATGGCAAAGGAGTTTGTCAGCACCAAATTAGTTTTACAAGAAATAGTAAAGGGGCTTCTTTGAGTGTGAAAGAAATGGCCATAATTAGATGTAAAAAAAATGAATAAAAAGATGTAAAATATGACAGCATATACATAAAAAACAGAGTAGGGGGTTGAAATATTTTTTAGAATATGTTTGAACTTATATGATAATTAACTTATTAATATAGACTGCTGTATATTCAGGTTGTTGTATGCAATGCAGTTAAGCACAAACCGCAAACCTGCAAGAGATGCACAAAAAATGAGGACAAAAAAGCTAAATATATCACTACAGAAACCCATGAATCACAGAGAAGAAGAAAGGAAAAGGTGTGATGTATACACACACATTAGAATGTGTACACACACAGACAGAGAGGAATATTATACAACCATGAAAAGAATGAGATGTTGACATTTGCAACAACATGGATGGACCTAGAGGATATTATACTAAGTCAGACAGAGAAAGAAAAATCCCATCTGATTTTACTCATGTGTGAAATCTAAAATCAAAATAAATGAACATACAAAAAGTGGAATCAAACCTATAAATCAGAGAATAATCTGATTGTTCCAGGGGAAGGGGGCACATAACATGGATAATGAGTGAAAGGAGTGGTTGCTACAAGCTTCCAGTTATGGAATGAATAAGTCATGATAATAAAACACATAGCATAGGGAATAGAGTCAATGGCATTGTAGTAGCATATGGTGACAGATGGGAGCTACACTTGTGGTGAGCACAGTATAACATGTAAAGAGTTGTGTTGCTTTGTTGCACTCCTGAAACTAATGTAACATTGTGTGTCACATATACTCAAGTTTTTTAAAAAGAAAAGAAAAATTTGGCCTTTTGCTCCTATGGCATTTGTTATAGAGTGTATCTTTTTATCATAAAGAGGAAAGAGCCTTTCTTAATAACTTCAGTGCTATTGGTAATGGCAGAAGTATTGTCAGCTCATGGACTGCTGTATCTTCAGAATCTTATAATATGCCTGGTATGCAGTACAAACTCGATAAATATTAGTTAGATGAATAAATAAGTTTATAAGATGATTTTAGGCAGTACATGAATAGAAGTGTTTTTTTTTTAATTTTTGTTTATATTATTGTGTATCGAAAACTGTACATATAACTACATAGTAAACCTGTGACTTGGGTTATGATTATATGTTTCTTTTTAAAATAAACATGAACAGTGTAAGTTAAAAATATTCATTAAATACAGCCTAGATAGGAAATGCATTTGCCAAACATTCAAAACACCATGTTGGAGAAACACAGGCTTACAGTAATGGAACACATTCAATGACAAGATCTCTGTTACTTTAGAGACTTTGAGAAGTTCAGTGATGAGTGGAGCTAAGCAAGAATAAATCTCCCTTAATTTAATTATTCAGAGAAATTAGAAGAGATATTTCTGTTCATAGTTGAAAAATGTACATGTTTTAAGTTTGTTTCTACCTATTATTTAGACAGCAAACTACCTTATAAAAAGAAAACATTAATTTTTATTTGGTATGTACATATGAAAAAAGAATATATACACACGGACATACAATATTTATGTAAATACATACACATGTACTAGTGCCAAAACAAGTATGCGGACTTAACTCTTCGAATTGTAAGGATAGTATTAGAACACACACCCTTATATATTTCAGACTTCTGGGCAGTTCTGATGAACACTGGTTTTTCTCCTTAGGAAAAATGCAGAGTTTCACATAGAATGAAGTGTTGAACAGTGTAAGGCAATAAATTTTGCCCGACAAGGAAGGATGTCCACATTCTTCACCAACTCATATTTCTCTAAAATAAATTACATTTAATGTAAAAACTCAGAATGAAAAAATAAGTTTCCATTTTTATATAACATAAAAATG